CAAGCGGGCCTGGCCTAGGGAGGATTTTAAATTGGGTTTATTTTAGGTGTAATTTTTAAATAATACAACTTTAAATATTTGGTTTTAATTGGTTTTACTTCGGTGGGGTTGTAGGCGTGTCTATGTTTTTAATATGTTGTGAGCCGCCCTGAGTCCCGTCGGGAGAAGGGCGGGATATAAATCAAAATAAATAAATAAAATAAATAAATAAAATAAAAGAGCCAAGGTTGCCTACCCCTGGGCTAAGTAAATCAATAATCGAGCACTGTGTTATGTATTATCAATAATGGAGCAATGGATTATTATGTACAGTAGTGGCCAAAATTGTGGAAACCTTTTGGGAAAAGTGTACTTTTGAGGTTTAATGGCTAATAACACTACTTTTTTTGGGGAGGAGTACATAAAATTATATATCAATGGAAAGATAATTTAATCAAGAGTGTAACGCAACATAGTTTGTTCAATGATCTGTACTGTATTCTATGAAAAGTTATAGCCAAATCACCAGAAAAAGGAAGCACAACTTGCTTAGGTGGATCTCTGGTAGCTTTCCTTCATCCGATTGTAGCCAATGAGCGTGAGTGTTTAGAGAGCCAATCGGGTGTCATCTTGTTTTGCCAATGAGCCAATCAGATCACAGTAGGATTCGGTTACTGATCTCATGTATTGAAGCCGAGAGGAGGACATTTGTCAGTGTGTTATTGTGATCGCTATCAAGTTGGTTGGGTTTTTTTTTGTGTTCTTTCATTTAGTGAGCTTGTAAAACGTAATAAAATTAAAGTAATGGTGCAAAGAGTTGACTGGTTGCCCAGAAAGCGATGTAAAATAGTATTATTAAGTGAACAAGGCTATAATTATAAAGAAATGAGAAGAAAAATGGGTGGAAACTTAACCTAAGGTGGCATTTCTACGGTACACTTTTCCCAAAAGGTTTTCCACAATTTTGGCCACTACTGCATTGTTATTACAAGTAGTCTGGACTTATGACCACAGCTGAATCCCAAAATTTCTATTGGTAAGCCGGGCAGTTATTGAGTGGTTCCTCTTTTTTATGACCTTGTTTTGCCACAGTTAAGTGAATCATGTGGTGCTTCATTGATTCTGGCTTCCCCCATCCCCTTCGCTTTGTCGGAAGCCGGCTGGGAAGGTCACAAATGGCGATCCCACGAGTCCAGAGACTCTGCAACCGTCCTAAGTACATGCCAGTTGCCAAGCACCCCAGTTCCGATCACGTGATCTTGAAGACGCGGGCAACGGGTGTGAAAAACGGCGGTTAAGTCGCTTTTCCGGTGTGGTTGCAACCTTCAAATGGTTATAAGCCGGGGACAGCCCATCTAAGTGTGCTTGCAAAATAAATCTCAGCCAGTCACGTGACTCCGTCAGAGACCGACTAAGGAGGTCCTCGCTGTTACCTGAGACTCATGTGCCTGGAGAGCTCCTGTACGATGCGGTCGTGCTTCCCAGTGGATGAAAATTTTCCCAACCAGCTTGGGAAACTCGGAAATTCTTGCATATAGCCTCTCATCAGCTCCCCGGGCAGGACACTCGAATAAATGGCCTGAAAAGGAAGGAAAGAGTTTTAGCACTTTTTCTGTTTTTGATAGGATACGGTTGAGGAGGCAGAACCAAAAGGCCAAGACCGATTAAACAAAAAGATCAAAATTGAAATTAATAATCCCATCGGTGATTCAGAATTACTCTGTTTCCTCCTGCCTTCCTTCAATTAAAGAAGAAACTAGAGACGGCAAGTTCTAGTCCTGCCTTAGGCATGAAAGCCGGTTGGGTGACTTTGGGCCAATCGCCAGGAGACGGTGAGTTTTAGTCCCGCCTTAGGCACGGAAGCTGGCTGGGTGACTTTGGGCCAAATACCAGGAGACGGTGAGTTCTAGTCCCGCCTTAGGCACGAAAGCCGGCTGGGTGACTTTGGGCCAGTCGCCAGGAGACGGTGAGTTCTAGTCCCGCCTTAGGCATGAAAGCTGGTTGGGTGACTTTGGGCCAATCGCCAGGAGACGGTGAGTTCTAGTCCCGCCTTAGGCATGAAAGCCGGCTGGGTGACTTTGGGCCAGTCGCCAGGAGACGGTGAGTTCTAGTCCCGCCTCAGGCATGAAAGCCAAGTGGATGACTTTGGGTCAGTCAGTCTCAGCCCAACCGACCTCGCAGGGTTATTGTGAGGAAAACAAGAGAAAGAAGGAGCATATGCCACCTTGCGTTATTTATAAAAATAATAAAGATGGGATAAAAATAAACTTAAAATCGATCACGTGTCATCAACTCCTATCTAACGACATAGATAAAAATCCCTTGGGTTTTCCAGAGAAAAATAATGAAAAATGAAAATGAAAATGAAAATTATAATAATAATAATAGCGGCATAACAAAATAGCAACAATGGTGCATTGGAAGATCTGCAAGAAATATCATTTGCCTGTAAGCAAGAACTGGTGGGATCATAAAATAGAGAAAGTCATAGAAAATGATAAAGTTAAACTGCTCTGGGACTTCAGAATTCAAACAGACAAGCACCTGCAACATAACACCCCAGACTTAACCATTGTCGATAAGAAAGACAAAAAAGTCTGCATAGTGGACGTGGCAATGCCTGGAGACAGCAGAATAGACGAGAAAGAACTGGAGAAGATCACAAAATACAAAGACCTACAAATAGAAATAGACTGTGGCAAAAGCAAGCAAGGGTAGTACCAATAGTAATAGGCGCCTTGGGTGCAATCCCAAAACAACTGGAGCACCACTTGAACACCATTGGCATTGACAAATTCCCCCTTAATCAAGGAACCGCTTCCATCCTGCGACGAGATCTGTAATACCATCAAACATCCACATCTGCCTATCCCAGGTCCTTGGGAAGGACTCGATAGGTAGACAAAAATGCCAAATCCAGGATGAACATCTGGCTGACTGTGCGATGGTGATGATGATAATAATAATAATGAATCCGAGCTAGCTTTTAAGATGACCGCCTCATTATTTTTAAAAATAATCTCTATAATCTCTATGCAGAACCAAAGGGCAGTATATCACCTGTGTGGGTAAAAGGCTCCAGTTTTGCCGCGCGCGAATCTGGCGGTCGACTAAATCGCCGTCGCAAATGCTGTCCGCCGTTTTGCTAAGTAAGATGAGTTCTTTTGCCAAGTTGTTCCTGAGAAAAGACGGGGAGACGGCTCGTATTAAGGCCGATTGTTTATTACCGCCTTGAATGCCAAAATCACCATCCCAAAATAACAGGTCAGGACTCACCCAGCAGCAGCGGGCCTGACGTGGACGTAGTTCTCTTGGACAAAGAGAGGTCCCAGGGAGTAATCGTGGAAGAACAGGTCTGCTTTGTCTATGAGAGACATGTGAGAAGCCTCTTCTCCTTTGGCAAAAACCTTCCTCACCACATCAAAAGGCCCCTGGAGGAAGGAAGGAAGGAAGGAAGGAAGGAAGGAAAGGAAGGAAAGGAAGGAAGGAAGGAAGGAAGGAAGGAGGGAAGGAAGGAAGGAAGGAAGGAAGGAAGGAAGATGAGAAGGAAGGAAGGTTCCGAAAGTCATTGAGGAAAACTGCAAAGAGGGTAGATCGAAAGCACGCAAATCGCTGGTCCAAATGAGCTGGCTTTGGCACCAAACGCCCCCCACTTACAACCGGTGAGTTAGAACTTCAGTATTACATCAAGGGGCTGTCACACCCCACACCAGAGGTCTCCAACCTTTCTCAGTTGGTGGACCAGAGGGAAAGGGAGGGGGGAAGCATTTTATGCGAGCACGCCCCAATGGGGCTGCGAGCACGCACGACGCAAACGGGGCGGTGCGAGCGCCCGCCTGACACTTGCTAGCACCGTCCCGTTTTCGCGCAGCGCTGTTTTTGTGCTGCCCCGTTTGCACAGCGGCGGTGGTGCCAGCGCGAGTAGGGGTGGCTGAGTGCACTGGCCAGCCTGTTCTGCGGCCCAGTGGCCAGTAGGCCACGGCCCGGTCGTGGGCCACGGACTGTAGGTTGGAGACCCCTGTTCTACACCCATGGTTCTCAACCTTTTCTTAACTCACGATTTAAATCATAACATTTTTTTCAAGCCTTCGTGGATCCCGTGATCTTGTGGGCCCCCCAGGGGGGGTCCGCGGACCACAGGTTGAGAACCACCGTCGATCACCTTTTATGATTTTTTTTAATAAAGATTTTATTGATTTTCTCTTACATACATAAATTAACTTTTCAACCAACGTGCTGTCTGGGTTTAAAAACACTAATACATATTCCTTCATTCTTTCCTCTAGCCATTGATAAAATAAATCCCAAGTTTGATAATATTCTGCTTCTTCTTTCTCTTTCAATCTCATGGTTAATCTGTCCATCTCTGCACATTCCAGTATTTTTTTTATTATTTCTTTGTTTGTTAATCTTTTTTGGCACCTTTTTATGATACAAATCCCCCAACGTGCAAAATGGAGGAAAACAGATCCCCGACTCAGACATATAAAATACGCTGTATTTAGAAAGTGAAGAATTACATATTATTATATTGATTTGTGGCTTTGGGGTCTGAGCATATCCACCCTCTCATAAATTTT